TCTTCAGTGGTTTTTGTGTTTATTGTGGGCCTCCCAAATGTTTTCAATTTTCCACCATCTTGTCCTCTCCAGAACTCCTGAATTGTCATCTTCCACCAGCTCCCCCAGCTTTTCTGTTTGATGGTTTTCTCATTAGTTGCCCTCACGTACTCCTGAAGGTGGGATGTCACCTAATTGGGAATTCCCACGCTTTGACCTGATGCACGCAAACTGAAGTCAGTCCAGATGATGTTGTTGGTTGCCAAGTACATAAGCAGATATGAAACTTTAAATTGTGAAACTACTGGGAGTTGTGTAAAAGTGTTAATTGAAGTAACAGTGGTAGTTACACTCATTGCTTTTTTGTTTCTTGATTTCTTAAGCTTCTGTGTAAAACTTCCAAGGCTTCTTATATTTTATGCTTGAATATAGATCTAAAAGAGAGGACAGTAAGCAATGAAACATCAGTTTCTCAATTTATCTTCATTTCTATACTGTGTTTACAGAGCAAGAGTGGATACTTTTATTCTGTTTGATCCAAACTGGATAAAGCTGAATATGCAGCCTTGATACATGCACGTATGTGTGCATATAACTGTATTTCTGGTTATAAAAGTGTAGCAAGGTTTTTTTTTCCTTTGTTTTAATCAAAGTCTTGTATGTTATAGTCCTTCGTTTGCATTTACTTTTCATGTCTAGTGTCATCTGGTTAGATTTCTGTAGCAATGTAATACCTTCTTTTATGTTGGAATTTTCTCTTGTTTAAAGTAGTAGGTTCCAGCCTGTTTACCATTTGCTTTGTTATTAAGTGACTATACCATGGGGAATGTCTGGGTTCAAAGTCAATCTCTGAAAGCCTGAATTACCGGAAGGGAATTACTGACTGTGTAAGCATGTCCTTATTAGTTTAAAAGTTAAATTAATGTTAAGTCTGTTTGCTTAGCTATACAGATTAACAGAAGCTACTGTTTCTTTTATTTTATAGTGGCGTTTATTTTCAACTGGATTGGATTTTGTTTATCCTTCTGTATAACAAATACCATAGCTGGAAGGTATGGTGCAATCTGTGGATTTGGTCTGTCCCTGATCAAATGGATTCTCATTGTACGGGTATGTTTTTTGATGCATGCTGTACAGACTCTGTTTGCAGAACCAAACCATAACAATTTATTCAAGGATATATAGTAATGGAATTAAAAATCAGTATATTAAATTCCAGTGCTTATCAGAATGCCTAGAATTTTCTGACTTCCACTTTAGTAGAGAATTTACTTGCTATATACTCATATGTGCTTACTAATGATGAAGCTTAATCTATTTTTATCTGACATAGCATTTTATGTTCAGCTTTCCACTAAAATAAACGCAGAATGACTCATTCTTTGCACAAATATTTAAAAGCATACAGAAGAAGTGGAGGAAGTCAAACCTAAAATGTCACTGGTATTATAGTGTCCTATATGAAAGATTTATAAATGGCTCGGCCTATCAGAGGGGGAAAAAAGATCAGAAAACATTTCTTCCTTGTATCTGATTCTTTTATTCTTTTTAAGATACATACTGAATCAAGTCAAAATTAAATATGAAGTTACTCAAACTTTTACCATCTTAGATGCTCAATTTCTTGATATTTTCACTGGAAGGCTAGATACTTTTCAGAAAGGTCTGTTAGCTGAATGGAACTTACTTAGCTGACTAAGTGGATGCTAGATGAAACGTAATGATTCTTTCTGAACTTGAATTCTACATGTCTGTGAGATGCAACATTTAAAATCTCATCCTGTCTAATGAAGAAAGAGATCTTGGATAACTTCGCCATCTTTTATGTTCTGCCAACTCTGAATATTTTTTTCCCCTCCCCCCTTTGCATGTGCTATAACTTAACTTGATTTGGTCTTAGCACAGTAATACAAGGATTGTAGAGAGAAGAGATTGCATGGTCCTTTCTGGACATGTCCTGTATCCTCCTTAGAGCTGAGGGTGATTTTGGTTTGGTTTTTGTTTGTTTGTTTTGTTTTGGGGTTTTTTTGCTTCCCCAGAGCAGGGGAATGCTTCTGGACCAGATGTGATTCTGGTGTATTTAGTTGGAATTCAGGGTTTGGGATGAAATTTATCTTAAGGGAACAAGAAGACATGTATTTTTTAGCTATGCATTCACTGGGGATATTTTCAGCTTCCTTTGAGGCATACTAAACAGAGGGCAGGACTTGCTCATTTTGTCAGTTTTATTATTCCTATCTGCTTGAAAATGTGCTCATAACAAATACAAAATTAATATATGCTAAACTTCCTTGAAGAATTACTGCATTCTAGACTATATTTAAATTCTTTTATATAATCTGTTACTAATTCTAAATATTAGAGCTGACCAATTCCAAGACCTCAGGGGTGGTTATTTTTCACAGTGAAGATTATTATCTTCCTGTGTTGTCTCCTTTTCTAGAGACAATAGCAGAAAGCTCATAAGGTGTATGTCGACAGTTTTGTTTTAATGGTGACACACAAGCACGTGTGTGCGCACAAAATTGTTCTGTTCCTTTGTTTCAAGTTTCTCTGAAGGCTTGTGGTGCCCTTTCTCACTCAGGGTCAGTAGTGCAAAACTTTATAGTGTCTAACAGTCTGAGTTCACGTACGCTCTTTCTGTATCAGTTTTTACTGGGT